AATCTGTTATTTATCAGTTTAGATTATTTTTTAATGCTTCGCTAACTATCAGAAGACAGTAACCGGTTTTAAATTCCAGTTACGCAGATGGGGCACGTTGTAACACTGCGTTACAATGTGCCCTGCCGTGCTTTTCTATGACATTAGCGATGTAATTCAGACTATTTACTTTAATACATTTTAATGATAAACGACGAGAAGCAGGTGAATAAAGACTGACAGTCAATGTTTAATGTTAAGAAATTATTGTTTCAAGACATGTAAAGCATTTTGGCTCATTTATGTGGGCCGTCCCAAGCATGGTTGCAATGTGTTCATTGTCAAACTCCAAAATCAGATTATTTTTAATTCTTAAACGCCATTATTTTATTTGAAATAAATAATTATTTTATTTTGTTGACAAAATATTTTAGTTTGTCTTGTATATTTTTTTCATTCGATCAGATAACATTTTAAGCTGTCATATGGTCATGTTACAACGTGCCCCTCAGCTGTTACAATGTACCCCACCTATGGGGCATGTTGTCACATTTCACTTCCAATTTTTGAGGGTAAATAAAGAAAAACGTATACACTGTAATTATGAAACAAAGCGAAATATTTGTACTAGACAAGTGTGAAATTACTGTGGATAAAAAAAATTATACTCTGAACCCCACGTGGATTTACACAATTTGAGAAAGTCAAAAAGTGTTACTTTGTGCCCCGCTCTCCCCCTATTTTACGCTTATTTTGTGTCTAGAACAAAGGGGTTGTATGTTTTCGCTAGCTTTGGTGATGCAAGTCACTTATTTTACGTTTATTTTACTTATTCAGTCCAGGGGAAAGTGTTTGCTTATTTTCGCTTACTTCCGTGAGCAAGTCGCTTATTTTACGCTTGTTCTGATCTGGCAGCACTAATGAGACGCGCAGCTTCGGTTCCAGTTCGCTTTGTTTATTTTGTTTGTGTCCCAGTCTCCTGAGAACCGTTGATTGCTAACACAGGGGTTTCCAACGTCAGGATTTCAAGTTTCTTTTCCCCTTTTACTAGAGAGCAATGCCCCGCCCGCTTCCAGGCAGGATTTTACCGTCAATAGTGTTACGTCTGTCAGTAAACGAATCGCTGCGTCACACCGCCGGTGGATCTGCTGATACTAATATGATCTAGCCTACACTGGATTGTCAAGACCTCATCCCACGCGCTTGCGCATTTTACCTAGAAACTATTAACATGGTGCTCATATGGCCTTCAGCTATTGTGTCTTGGTTAATTTCTGCTTCTTTAAAATCCTGTACAGTTTGGCCGTGAAATCCTAATCATACCCCGAATCAAATGTTTTCAATTAAATCAAAAACACACTCAAGCTTCCTCTGCATATTTTTAGCATGTGGTTGTCCTCTCACTTCCCTTAAATGACCTTTTCCTTGAAAACACATTTTAAAAGAAAAGAATTTCTCTCAATTAATCCTCATTGTAAAACAAACTTATCAGGCCTCTAAAAAGTTCTCCACCCTCTTGAAAAGCCAGCAGATACTGTAACTGTCCCAATATAAAAATGCTATGGTTAAATATTAACAACACCATTGTTGCAACAAACAAGGTCCACATATCAAAGGTGAACAATCCCTGGCAGACACATTAATAGTCAATGAGT